TGTTTGTATTCATCTATGAAAATATTCCATCAAAAAATTTTTCTAAAGATTTTCTAATTTTTGTTTTCATACATATGACATTGCTTATGTTTGTTTGATTTGTAACTAATCACAGTGAAAATAATATGTTTATATGTTAAAGAACTAGTTATAAATTTGACGAGATATAATAGAGATTTTCGATAATGATTATAAATGTCTGTCAGTCTAAGAAAATAAGATTGACAGAAAAACAGTATTTAGAAAAGCTAATTTGATTTAATACACTACAATAGTGTTTAATCTATATAATTGAACTAGTATTGTTTTCCCTTATTTGCCATTATGAACTACAGCTGTCTCATGGGATACGCTTTTTAGATTAATACAATGTATAATGAAGTAAGATGTTGTTAAGATTTAACCATTTTTTAATGTTTAGTTATCACGAAAAAGAAATCATTTTTTTTCAAAAAAGAAAAAAAACGAACAGAAAACAGCGAAATAACATAATTACGCTGAAACTAATAATAGTAAAAAAATGAGGAGAAAAGGATGCGATCTATATGAAAAAGCTTTTTATTAAGTTTCACAATTAATGTATACGAATGATTAGACATTAGTCTGTTTTTTGTTTTACTATATATATCCATTTAGTAATATTTTTTATTTAATTTTTTCTTATGTTTTTCTTCTGTCTTTCTTGATCACAAAAAGGATAGAATGGAATAGGAAAAGGGACTATTTTTCAGTTTTGTCTTCGACATCTATTTACTATCTTAATCTCTGTGGTAAGAATGAAAGAAATGTTTGAGTGATTAGACATGTCCTCAATATGTGCTAATGAGAAAAAATGGCAAAAATATTTTCCATTTGTTTCACTATTTATTTTAGATATCTATTCACTATTTCTATAAAAAAAATTCATTGACAGAATGCATGATAAGATTAAAAACATCTTTCAATTTATTACTACTGTTGTCCAACAATTCTAATCGTCGAACAACAGAAGGATTTATTTTATTTTCAAAATTATTTTTCTATTGATCATGTGTTATTGTCAACAAAAGAATAGTATAATAAACGTATTTAATAAGAATGAGCGACTTGACAATTGTTGCATTATGTCAAGTTCTAACAAATTTAACTCATAATCGTTGTCATTTACTTGAAAATTCAAATACATGTCGATGTGTCGATGATATTATAGATCCAAGTATGATAATTTATATTTGTTTTGTTTTGGTTTTTTTTTATTTATAATAAAAGTATTCGTTTTTGTTTTATTGTTTTTAGAACCAACTACGGTTATTAGTACGCCACCTAATATAATGATGAGTGAAGTATTGTTAATATTTTTTGTCTTAATATTATGGCTTTCAGCTATTGGCTTTTGTCTAAATCAATATAAATCACTTCGTCGTCTTGAAACTCAAGTACATTATTGTGTTAATCGAAAAGATCCATTAAATATAGGCGATATTAAAATAGTTACACGTGAACAAGATTCAATAATATATAAGAAAAAACGTTATTCAGCTCTTCCTGATACACATGTTAATCGTGATGAATTAAAAGCTATGCAATATGTTAAAGAATATTTACCAAAAAATACAACAACAACATCAACAATAACAGAAGTTCTTGTTGTTAGTCGAGAAAGTCTTACTGCAAATATACCTGTATCAACAACAATATCTTTGTATAATCCATCAGGATCTTTAACACAAACACCTTATATTCCATTAAGTACACATAATGAACTAGCCGAAGAGCAACAATTGCTATCATCATTGCCGTCATCATTAGAACCTAGTGTTTTATTAGAAACAGACTTTAATAAAGCTACTGATAGCACGTCTTATGTTAGTCGAACAGGTAAAACAAGAACATTATTTTGAATATATTTGATTCAATTGAAGATTATATCATAAATTTATAATTTAATCTCTTTTCTATGTTACGAGAAAAACAAAAGATTAGAGTTTCTCTCCTAAAAGATTTTTGAATGATTAAGCTCTTATGATTGAATCCATTTATACTAATATCAACAAATGACAGAAATCATATTTTTACTTATAGTTTAATCAATAAACTAAATGAAAAGCAAATATTAAGAGATAAACGTTGTCATTCGATATAAGCGACATTCTGTTAGGATTGTTAACAGAATTCAATTATTTGATTAAATGGATGACCTCAAATAATAGAAAAGTATACCGACAACATCCTGATTTGTTTTTAAAATATATTCTCGAAGAGCTAATTAGTAGCTCTTTAAGAAAATTTGGATATGAATCATGATTGTAAATTAGAAATAATTCATTAAAATAAATCATATCTTAACGAATACGATCGAGAAATAAAACCCTAATAATATCGCTTATGAGCAAAATAAACACATAGAAAACTATGATAGATCTGGCTTGGTTCATATGATTAATACTACCAACTATACACTACAGAATATTGTTCGACAATCATCAGACTATAAAATTGAAAAAAGGAAAAAGAATAGATCTCTTTACTTGCGAAGTTAACTTATATGGTAGTTTTGTCTCTTTCGAAATTTTAATTATTAGTTCATGTTTTTATTTTTATCGAATTACATACATTGAAAGATATACTCAAAAATCTTTTGAAATCTTATAAAAACTAAGATAATCATAAGTATAAAAATAGAAAAATAATTCATAGTTTTAAGCCTTTTGAATGTCAATATCCTAGCTTAAAGACCTTTAATTGATCACTAAACTTATATTGTCAATTTTTTTATTAATAATTATAGCTCGGATTATTTTTTCAAGATATCTTTGTATCTGATGTCCTACTATGTTAAGAAATTACTATAAGAATTAAATTTTTATTATATTTAGTACGAATCGTGGGAATAATCTACTATTTTTTTCTATATCCTTTAATGTCGTTAGATTCACATATAAATACATCTATATTTTTCTCCTACATGATTATTGTGTTTTCTCTCTTTTTTATTTAATAATTGAAACGAGTATTTACATCAGTTTTATACAAAACTAAATAATTCGTTATGGTTAAAAAATTCTTGATAAATATCAAATGTCGAAACTTAGTCTTAAAAGCTAACTTAAATTTTCTTTTTACAAGAGAAACAATGCAAATATTTCATACATAAAAGAAATAGATTTAAATACATATTTTCGATGTTTATTTAAATAAAATACGACAAGTAAATTTTATTTTATTGAAATATAATTATTATATTTTTTAATTAATATATAAATAATGTTAATTTTCTGTTTGATCTTTTTTATTGTAAATTGTTGAAAACTAATAAGAAATTTACAACATTTGTGTTTTTTTGAAGAAAGATTCTAAACTCGATAGAATATCATTAGCTCGAAAGAAATGTTTTTCTCTTCCAAATATTTTTTAATAAGCAAAAAAACAATTTAAAAAAAAACAACGGATTTATCCTTTCTTATTACCTATTTCGATTTTATTGTTGTCGTCTGAGATATTTCCTTTCATACATACATACATGAAAAAATATAATCTAATCTTTCAAAAACAACACCTTTTCAATGAAATACTCCAAAAAAAAAACGAAATTCAATATGAAGATTTTATTTAAAAATTGAATTTGGCTTTTTATTTTCCTAGGATGTGGTCGCTTATCAGCAGGCCTTACTGTTCCATATATTTCTACACCAAATCGTTTATCTTTATCTTGGAATGGTTCACGTATGCATGAAACAAGTTCTTCAACACAACATTTATGTGTACCATCAAATGATCTTCGATCAAATCGTTATTCTGATGGAAATATATCTTTAACTGTTCCACAAACTTCACAAAAAAATTCAGAAAATCCAAATGAAAAATTACTTGATCCTCGACTTATATCCCGTACAGTTCGTCGAAGTTTATTAGCTTTACATCGTGAAAGTCAAGAAAATATTCATATGCATCGTACTAAAGAAAAGACTCAATCAGAAACTGATGTTCATATTGCATTTATGCCATGGAAAATAAAAATGAAATCAAAATTAAAACGTACTCATCATCATAGTTATCAACAACAACAACAGCAACAACAACAGCAACAACAACAACAACAACAACAAATTCGACCACATTCAAACACACTTTCTATTTTATCTATACGACAAAATAGTAATGATCAAGAACGACGTATATCAGACTATGCAAAAATGAAGCATGAATATCGATTTTCAACTCCACCATCACGTAATTATCCATTAGCAACAAATTCAACACTTCGACGAAGTTTAAAACATTATCCAAAATATACAACACAAAGTACAACGGAAAGTGAAACAATACAAGGCGATTTGCCAATAATTACAAGTGTTGATGTATCAGTTAACGAAGATGATGATGCAGCTAAAACATTAATTCAAACAGATATACAATCCCAATTATCATCATTGTAAATTTTCATTTTATTTTTCCTTTTATGTGTATGTAGACTTTCTTTTTTTCCTTGTTCTTCTCTTATACAATACCGGTGAATTGTTTTTTTAATATATGATTCACATAATTAGAAAAGAGATTGATCAATAAATGCATTGATTTGTGAAATTCTTTTAAAAGAATATTTTTGTTTGAGAAAAAAATACTGATTTTTGTTTTTTTATACTCTTGTTTTCTTGGCAGTAAAACCCATCGTGATTGATTTATGTCATGATTTTTAAATTTTTTCTTTTTTTCTAACCGTTCTATGAGTTTTAGTATACTTGATTGTACTGCCATTGAATGAAGACAAAAAAGAAAAACAACCTTTTTTTCTTTCATACGAAGCGTATAAATGTGAAGAGAAAAAAAACAGAAGGCTATCGAACAGAAACTTGCTTTTCATTTCGTTTTTTGTATTAAGTAAATATTGTAACCACCTACATTATCGAAAAAGAAAGAGAGATTGAGAGAAAGATGATGACGACCAAAGCTAGTATATTTATGTCGAATAACAACTTATTTTTCTTCATACAGTTATAAAAAAAAAAGTGGGGCAAGAAGGAATGCAACGAACATTACTCTTGAAATCCGTATTTACTCTAGTTATATTAATCTTATCATCAAATTGTCAGGCACCTATGTGTAATATAAATAATGATATTCTAATATGTTCTGTTAAAAATACTTCATCTCTCGTGGATACAAGTTTCAATAGTTCAAATGGATACAGTTCGGTCAAAATTAGATATAATGGAAATGTTCAATTGAATTTAATAGCACCATCAATGAAACCAATTGTTATAGAACCTTCTGATGAAAGCGATAGTCATACACTTCAAATATCAACTATAAATACAGCTGCTTCTCGTATTGACATACAAATTCGTCTTTCATCAAATCAAGTATTATTACCATTATTTACAGCAACTTGTAATATCACAGCACCGAGAAGTACCTTACGTATTAGTGTAATACAAAGTATAATGGATCCAAAGAATTTTAAAATATTTGATGATACTTCAACTTCATTAACAATGAATTTTGCTAATTATGAACTTATTTTTACACGAAGTGATACATATCGTGGAGTAAGAAAATATGAAATAACTAATTTATTTACTGAATATTTTATTTTATTTTATTTTTTATCTATTTTATAGACTTTATATTTACATAATCTTATTCGTCTATTTACAAATATTACAAATATAACTATTTCCGGTAATGATCATGATCTTATTGTTAATGATACACGAATGCCATCGTTTATTAAAACTGATCGATTATCATTTAAATATCTTCATTTATATGATCGAATGCTTAATAACTTTCCTACTTTAAAAGAATTTTTTATTGAAGGATGTAGATATAATAAAACGGCACAATTTTTACGTTCTTCAAACGTTTATAATATATCAGTAGATATGAGATATAATATACCTGATGATTCCAGTTTACCAAATCATCCTGAAACATTCAAAGATCTTCAAAGATTAATAAGTTTAACTCTTATTGAACAAAAACTTAATTCATCATGTTTAAGAGCCATTAAACAGCAACGAAAGCTTAGCAATTTATTATTGGATCTTGGTTCATATTCAAACTCTGATTTTGATGATTGGATGCAAGACATGCCAATTGTTAAATATTTAACAATTAATAATATATCAGATTTAAATATATTTCCATCAAAATTTTTTAATAAATTACATGCTATAGAGCAAATCATATTAAAAGGACGATTCAATTTGAAAAAAGAAGACATATGTATTTTTACTCGTATTAATATCCAAACTTATCCAAAAACTCCGATTATAGAATTAAATAATGAAGATAAATCAAAAGATGATATATGCGCCAATATTTACATACAAGCTATTAATCAAATAACAATAGAAGGTATTAAATGTCCTCCACAGGATACTTGTTCTGACTGCGAACGATGGGCTAACCAGGCACAGCAATGTGATCTTACTCCATATGAAGAGACATGTAGAGGTGAGACAACTGATCCTGGTAATATATTTTTCTACAACGAAAGTCGTCTATATGGTTTTTTTCAAAATCGTTCATGGTTAAATCGACCAACAAATAGTACAAAATCACCAACAGGACAAGCAGGCTCAGTAAATATTGGTGCTATTATTGGTGCAACATGTGGTCTTCTTGTAGCTATTGTAATTCTTGCTACGACAATTTATTGTATTTATCGATCTCGTCAAAAAGATGCAGCGAAAAATACGTCATCAATGCAAGAAGGAAAATATAGACGTTCATCAAAGGATTCAGCACATGTCTCAATTGCAACAAGTAAATCATCAAAATCATCACGTTACGCACTTGAAAAATCATTTTTTCCTTCGATTCAACCTAATGATGAAATAGCACCACCACTTTATACTGCACCATCTGAATCAGTTGGTTCTGTTTCTGCTTATCGTTTACCACCAGTACCAAGTGCTCCTCGTGAAAGTGTATTAACTCATACAACACATGTTTATGAAACAGTCGACACTTAATATAATGAACAAATGAAAAAATGTTGATATTTCCGTATTTTTTTTATCATAAAATGAAACATTTTTTTTTTAAATTTTTACAAATATAATCACTTAAAGGTCAATTTCTGTTGTTCCATTTCCAGGTTCAATATGTGTACCTATGATAAGAGAATGTTGAAATGCATTGAGCTTTAGGATACTTTTTTCATCGTGTAATAATCCTTGGCCTATAATATATAAAGAATTTATTCTTTTAAATGATTTTTTTCTCAATGAATATCATCTAATACACACTAACAACGTCAAGTTCTAATGGAGAATGTGTATATGTAACTCTATCTCGAACAAATTGTTCTCTTAATTGACAAAATTCTTCTAAATTTTTATATTGATCTATTTTAGGTACAAACATTGATAATGGACTCATACATATATAAGAAATAATACGTAATAATTCTGATTGATTATTTTCTTCTTTATTAACAATTGCTGGTGTATTACAATGGATAGAACGACAAACCCAAACAATAAAATCATCTGCTTTACATTTAATTAGACGAGGATGTAATTTTTCAAGTGACGAATATTGATTAGGAACTCTTATATAACTATCCCAAAGATGTTCTTCAGTTTTTGATTTTAATTCAAGAAAATGTTTATGTGAATCAGGTACAATTCAATAGACCGAGCTGAGGTGTACCTGGCCCAGATTTTTTTTATAAAGTTTAAATCTTTAATCATTTGTTTTACAAAAAAAAGAACAAAATTAAACGTACCATGGTTCATCCAATGTTTCTAGAGTATTACGTTGAATATGATATGATTTTGGTAAACTTTCTAAATATTTCCATAATAAATTCACACTATAACTAACTTCATCATTGGTAAGTATATTGCTAAATATAGCATAACCATGTTCATTGGGATGTTCAATACCTTGTTGAAATTCTTCAATATTATGAACAGAAAACCGAGGATATATCACATCAACATCTATTAATACATCTTCTAAGTTTTTAAATTTTAATTCATCAATTTGATTTAATGATGTTGAAGGATAGATCTGATCCATAATTCAAAAATAAAACTTTGTTGTTATTTCGTTTTCACTAAATAACTCTGCATAATTCAGCTATTGTAATAAAGATAAGAGAATAATGTAATCATATACGTATATATATATATATATATATATATTACATGAAAATGATAAAATGATTCTAGATGTTTCTCCGTATCTTTTTAAGCGTACAAGAATTTTTTTTATACACTATTGATGATTCATAAAAAATCTCATTGAAACATAAGAAAGAAATAAAACATCAATATCTACTGCTCATTTAATTTTCTAGAAATAAAAATGATTCATTTCAAATGCTAACAAATATAATTTTTCTTTGTTATTGAAAAGAATTCTTTGCTAATGAAAAGTTCGTCATTTCTTCGTTAACTATTGTCAAATCATGTGTTAACTATTGAAAAGGTTTAGAGCAATTGTTGAAACGTAAAAGACTCATGAAAAACGCATGTCATGTGGCGTAGAAAATCTTGTCATACAACCGCGACATCTGATCGGTTTTTTTTACCGCATAGGAGTCAACTAAACATAATAAATGGAATTCGATTCTAGTTGATTGATGTATTTTTTTTGTTTCTTATGTATGTCCAACTATTTGTTCTTGTTTTTCTTATTTAGATTTTTCAATAGATCTTATTCTGAAATTGTTTATTTTCATTAGAGATGGCTGCTATTGTCAATCGTGTCACAAATCTTGTACCTAAGCTTGCACTTCGTAAGTTTTCTTTGATGAATTTTTTTCATATCTAAAATAATATGATTCATTTTTTTAGCTGTGGCACGTTATGGACAATCAAAATTAAATCGTTTCTGGTATTTTGCTCGTGTTGAATTACGACCACCTATGCCAAATGAATTTGGTCAAGTTCAAGAAGGCATTCAACAAATAGTTCGATCAGCTACAACAGGTGCTTGGCGAAAATTGACTGTTAAAGTATGTTTTATTTTTTTATTTGAATTATTCTCTATTGTTTTTTTGGTCTTTTAAATTTAGCAATTTGCATTAAATTCACTTGTCGGTCTTGAAGTGATGTTTTGGTTTTATATTGGTGAATGTATTGGTCGTGGTAGTATTATTGGTTATCGACCTGGACGAAGTGAAGGCATCCCAGCTCCATATAAATACTTTATGTGATCCTTAGAAAAAGAAATAAATAGTTGGTAGAAAAAGAAAAACCAAACAACAATAAAAATCCTTTCTCTATTCATAGCACAGTGACTATCATCTATGCTCTTTTTTTCTCTCTCCTGTTGTCATCCATTTGTGGCACTTTAGTTCTTTTCAAATAAAATAAAAGATAAAAAAAAACCCTACAATCTATGAGTTTAACATTGAATAACACTTGATTAGTTATTATTTATTTTTTAGATGTATAATAATTATTGAAATGAATGACACATTTATGGTACGAACAAAAATACCTGATAGTAATGATTTATCGACAGATAAAATTCAACTTCAATTACAATCAAAATTAGATAATGAACAAAATACTATAAATCAAACACAACGACAAAAAACACCACCATTTGAACTTGTTGTTCTATCAAAAACTGAACATGATATTATGGTACAGAGAATTTGTTTTTTTCTCTTTTTAATGTAAATATCAAAAGTTACTTTATTTCATATTTCAGTTTCCAAATGTAATTGATCTTAATGTTGGTGGTTTTTATTATACAACTAGTTTATCGACATTACGTAAATATGAAGATTCAATGTTAGCAGTTATGTTTAGTGGGCGATATAATCTTGTTCGAGATAAAACTGGACGTATATTTATTGATCGTGATGGACGTTTTTTTGGGTAAGACAATGAATAAAGATATTGATTAATAATTTTATTAATTAATAAAATAAAAGTTACTATTTAAAATATAGAATCTTTTATAAAAAAAATAATTCTCTAACGATTTACTTGTTTTTTCAATGAGAAAAAAAAAATACAGAAATAATTATTCTTTTTATACTCTATATAAATTCAAATGACAAGTTCATGAGTATGTTAATATCAAATGAAAATTTTCATTAATATAAATATGAATATTAAATAATGAGAAATCTTATTTGAATGATTTTTTTTTTATAATTTTAGTCATATTTTAAATTATATTCGTTGTAATCAAATGCCAACAGAATCGATTGCATTAGATGTATTACATGAAGCAGAATTCTTTTGTATTAGTTCTTTAATAGTTAAACTTGAAAATTCAAGTCCATGTGTTATATCATTACGTCGACGAGAATCATTTCGTCGTCTTATACCTGATTATGAAAATATGAAAATGGATATTATTCATAAATCAATTGAAAAACGTTCATCATTTCATGAATCACGTGTTGTTATAACACAACTTGATCATACTAAATTAAAAGGAACAATTCCATGTTATAATTGTAGTCGAGAATTTGTCACAGTTAATCATGGTAATACTAAGATTTACATGTATTTATTTGTATGCATAACTTATTTGTGATCTCTCTTTTTTTTATAGCTTGTGCTTTTGATGGTCTTACAGCTGATTTACAAATTCAACGACAATTAAAACCGATTCAATCAGATATAACTATTGATATTGATAAACTTATTGCGTAAGTAGAAAAAAAAAATTTTTTTGTGAAGAAAAAACTAAAAATTATTTTGTTATTTTGTTTTCTTTTGTATTTATTTAGATTTGTTGTTGATGAATTAGTTCATGATGGTTTTAAAGTAACAGCTGAACGTGTTACATGTCGTTTTAGTGTTCGTTGTCAAAGTTGTACTCTTAGTGGTTTATATACAGCCGGTGGAATATTAGCACCAAGAGAATGTCAAAATATTGCTCATGTTATTAAATTTATCTGGTCATAAAAAAATTCTTTTTTTTTCTTTTGTTGATTTATGATAAATCATGTATTATTAGTGTTAGGCATGTTTATTCTAGTCAATATCATGTGCGAGGTTTTTTTTTGTAATCACGAGCGAAATATTCATATATTTATTTATTTATTTATTTATTTTTAAAAAATGTATTGTCATCTTTTCTTTTTAATTCTATTTAAACAAAATGAAAAACATGAGAATGAAATATATTCTATTTTAATATGTATATATATATAGATGACGAATGAATTTAATGAACATATTGAAAAATTTATTAATTCATTGAATGAAAAATCACTAGAAATTTATTATCAAGGATTTGATTTTTCAAATGTAAGTGATAGTCGAACACAATTAACAAAATTGAATTATGATAAAAGCAAAGTATCATTTCTTAATCTTGAAATGGTAAGAATAGAAATGAAATTTTAACCATATTATCTTATTTTATTAGATTGCAGATATGTTTCAAGTATTTACTGCTGTTCACAGTGCTGTTGAACAGAATTCATCAAGAGATTTTTCTGTTGAAGCACCATATCGATTGTCAAATACAAAATCGGTACGAATTTAATGAAAAAACTCGATCTGTCTACATAACGGTTCATTTGTTCAGGCGAAAATCAAACTATAAAATTAAGCAAAACAAATATGACTATCATATTAAACCCCTTCTCCTTCCCGCAATAGAAGATTCTATCCTATAGTAGAAGATTCCCTTGGAGGAGCGATACGCCGCAGGTAATAAAAGATCCTCTGTAATTAATTAATTTCTCAAAACATTAAAACTTTAATGAGGATATTTACATCAAAATATGCCTAGTTTTTAGTGTTTTGAGCTGGAAATCTTAAACGACTGAGGCCAGTATTATTTCTGGATTTTTAATGCCTTAAAAATATCTTGGTAAATCCTCAAAGTCGTTTTGATTTTCTGAAAAATCTTTTTAATAAAACGAGAATCATGGAAATACATGCGACATATAGAAGATCTTCGTGAAAACTTTGTACACTTGGATATAAAGAAGAATCGAAGCCTTCTATTACGTGAGGGGAATAAGTAGAACAATGTTGATAGTATACAAAAATTTAGTTTGTATCTGTGTCGCTTCATATAACGTAGAGAAAAATGCTGTCAAAGAGATAACATTCAAAAATCAATACTCGTCATACGCTTTTATTTTCTAATTTTTCATGTAAATAAATATGATTTTTTTTTTATTAAAGCCGATTACATGTTCTAAAACTGTTTAGAGTAAGCTCTTTAAACATGATAAGAAATCTAAGTATTGTCGTCTCTTAAGAAAGCTATTTACATTTAAACAATAGTCCATTTGTAAAAGTAATTCTATCACGAAAATATGTTGTAATTCAGTTTTAGTCAAAAACCAGATATTTCTGGCTCAACGAATAAGTGTTCGAACGTGACCTTTTTTTTGTGAAAATTTTAATTCCTCTAGGAATTGCATCATGGAATCACAATTGAGCGACTTAGTTACTTTATGCAAAAAATAAAATAGAAACTTCGTTTTTCTCTTGTATTATCATATTAGACATATGGTTAGATAGGCGTAAAAGATTTTAGAACCTCACTACTTGATTCTGAAGTTGGTTTATGATGGTTTTGAGTTATTTTTCTTATCAAAATTGAAAGCAGTAGTTCGATGGTGATATCCGATATGCAACTCATGTTTGCATTGCAGAATTTTTAAGTTATCAGAAGAATGATGAAAAATGTTTTTTTTTATGATTACTTTTTAACAAAGGCTATCAGTTTTTTTTTTCTGAAGAGCTGAAGTTAATTGTCTGAAGAAATAAACGTTGAGGAAAACATGAACATCTCTTAAAAACACGATTCCATCATGGAGCCTTTTCCTTTCTCAAAAGTCATTCTATTATGTTGTTTTCTGCATATATATATATAGTGCATCATTCAAACTACAACTTCCTTACAGCAAGTTTTTCCATTACAGTATTAGTTGAGTTAACTTTTTCATCTCTTTACACAAGACTCCAACTCGATGTGCACTTTTGCTGATTCCGTCACGACTTTTATTTTAATTACAAGAATGTAAAGAAAACTTCCAGTCTAATAAAAACTTTCAAGATGTATAGAACTATTCCACTTGAATATTTTCTGAAAATCTCAGCTTTAATTGGCTTCATTCCATTGAGATATTAAAAATATAAAATGAAAAAACGTGATTCCATTGCAATTGCACAGGTCGAAATTCTTTCCATTATTGTGATTTGAAAACATAGATCATGTCTTCTGGTGTTAGTCATAAATGAGAAACAATAAAATAGATGGATCTTGAAATCTGTGATCATCCCCTTTGTTGGTAGGAAAGATATGATTATGAAGAAAGCTAAACCGAATCATGATGTTTTACTCAAAATGACAGTTTTTGTAATTATGACATATCGAGAAAAAAAAATATATTAAATAATCGGGAAGTTCTGAGCTATGATATAAAAAATGATTAATTGTTCATTTTGAATATATGCTTAATACTAAAAATCAATAAGAGTTTAACTATTGCTATCAGCATTTGTCTTAATAAATTTTCTTTTTGTGGTTTTTCTCAGTTTTAACTATAAGAAATATGTGTACAATACGAAGAATGAAATATTTTTCTTAAAAAATTCTCTTTGAACAGAACTTAACGAGTTTTTTTCAATTATTGTTGAAGTTTCTTGAAAATTAAAAGTTAATAACTTAAACTACTCTTTTGATTATGTATTAAAAAAAATATTTCAATGTCATTTAATTGTTAGATTGGTGATGCATT